ATTTTCTTGCCGAGTCACGTATTTTATTATCGGTCTTATTAACGTTTAGTGGAATAGGCCTATAGGGGAAATTACTGTTTAAAAAAACGCATCAACAACGATACATCTTGGGTGATATGGAAAGCTATAGACAAAATTGTAGTTATTATATTATATTATATTATAGGTAGACTGGAAAGTAATATCGCCTCTTTTACATTAAATTCAAACAGATTTTTAATAAATTTCTATTTTTAATCAATTATGCAATCGCCATCGTTATCAACAGCCTTTTGTCATCTATTATGCAAATTTTCAATGGCAGGTCGATAAAAATCAATGAGATGAGTGATAAACAAGTATTTAAAAACGATGTTACTTTCCAGTTCACCTAATATCATACATTATTGTTATTATACATACAGTGGGTGTAGAATGTATTCGTACATTCATCAATTTCCCAAAAAACTTCTCTGTGAAATTGCAATTTATTAACTCCTTTTTTTCAATCAATGATCAATCAATGATATCTTACATATTCTCGGAAATCTCTAGAATCTAGTTCAAACAACAACAGAAGTGTTCTCACTTTTAGTTAAATTTAGAATGTTCCAACATAGAAAGTTGACACGAAGTGATTCTCGATTTTTCAAAAATTAATTTTGTTTGCGAACTATTTTAATTTGCAGAATGACTCGTTTTGATTTGATGAGGTTTCGGCGCCCTTGATAGAAAAATGTATCTTTTCAAAGACTTCAAATATTAAGACAATATACATTATTCAATCTTAGATTTTTCCTTAAATTTTCAATCAATTTTTCCATTTCCAATGTTCATTTCATCAAACTGGTAAAATTGTTCGTTCTAATTCAATATACAGGGTGTCCCAAAAATGTTGGAACTCCTTGAAATGGGTGGTTCGGGAGTTGATTTGAAACAACTTTTTCATTAGCGAAAATGTTGTCCGAGGCTTCGTTGAGGAGATATTAACAGAAAACCCCGACGAATCAGAGCGCAAGGATGCTGGTGGAGCGGCCGTGGTAGCGAAGGCTACGCGCTAAGCGACCACGCTCATACGTTAGCGGGGGCGCTCCACCGGCATACTCGCGCTCTGATTGGTCGGCTGCCTAGCGCGTAGCCTATGCTACCGCTGGCGCTCCACCGGCATACTCGAGCTCTGATTGGTCAGTGTTTTCCGTTAATATCTCCTAAACGAAGCCTCGGACAACATTTTCGCTAAGGAAACAATTGTTTCAAATCACCTCCCGAACCACCCCTTTCAAGGTGTTACAACATGTTTGAGACACCGTGTATATACAGGGTGGAGGTGATTTGAAACAACTTTTTCCTTAGCGAAAATGTTGTCCGAGGCTTCGTTGAGGAGATATTAACGGAAAACACTGACCAGTCAGAGCGCGAGTATGGTAGTGGAGCGTAGGCTACGCGCTAGGCGGGCGCGCTCATACGCTGCCGCAGCTGCTCCAACGGTATATTTGCGCTCTGATTGGTCAGTGATTTCCGTTAATATTTCCTCAACGAAGCCACGGACAACATTTTCGCTAATGAAAAAGTTGTTTCAAATCACCTCCCGAACCATCCCTTTCAATGACCTCTAACATTTTTGGGACACCCTGTGTGTATATATAAAAGATGTTTACAGATCTAAACATAATATTAATAACTTCAATTATCCATGAAAATCAAATATACTGACAGCGCAAGGAAACTTAATCACATGGATAGATCCAGACATATTTATGGTAGGACGCCCCTGACAATGAGACACAGGGTTACAGCTGTGATTTGCAACATGATCTTTATTTAAAAGCACGATTAGAAAAGAGAATTGAGTTCTTCAAATTTTTCGATGCATCGTGTTATTCACTTCTCCGAAATTTTGGTCTTCGAATTTTCTGTATGTTTGGATTCACGTATGTAAATTATCAATAACTTTAATTATCGGTGAAAATAACAAATACTGACAGCGCAAGGAAATTTTTAATCGCGCGGATGGATCCAGGCATATCTATCGTATAACCTCCCTGAGATCACGCGTGCGATTCGGCAGTTCTGCTGTCGAGCCTAGAGCGACAGTGGGAGCACAGCAGGTGGGGGACTCGGGAGTCGGCCTGGAATGAGCAATTTCGAGCACTGCTTTACACTAAACGTCTTTTGAACTTTAGAGTTTAATAAATTATCTTAAAAAACTTCGCGTGATTATGTTGTATTAGCCAACAAGTTAAGACGTGCGTTCGGTTGTACAATATAGATTTTTTGTAACGAATTTGAGAATTTAGAAGGTTGAAACGTAACAAAATGACAAGTGCATACTTCTTAACTTAATACTTAAACTTGAGTTATGTATAAATGACTAAACATAAGGGTAGAAAACTAATTTCTACACCTAATATACATAGTAATACGTAGATCAGAAATTTCGAATAATTCCAAGCTGCGATTATTGTAAAGATACGCTTATTAAGATCTTTAGAAAAAAAAAACTCGAGAGAAATCTATTTTTGTAGTGAAAATAGCAGACTTTACACTTAAGCCGTTTATCGAACCGTTTGTTGTGCATCCCTGTTGTACACCGTCTACTATGGCAACTCAATAGGATTAACCCTTTGCGGTTCGCCTGTCTCACGCAACAAACTGTCGGCTAGTCAGAATTATAGTCAACCCCACGTAGGGCTGAATAGATGTTTCGATGCAATATAGTTTTTAATATAAAATATATTATAGTATTTATAATGTGGTTATGGGCAAGATGGCAATTTAAAAAAAAAACGATCACAGTTAATATAGTAATTCAATTTATTAAGAAAAGTAAAATATATGAAACAATGAACTTGCAAATAATAAATTAATAATGATGTTCACTTCCTGCGTCTATTTCATAATCTTATTTCATCATCATCCATCTATATATGGACCGTTTATTTTGAAAGTGGTGTAAGTCCATGTTCTCTTGTTTCGAGAAAATTAAAGGTTAACATATCTGTTAATTAAAAAATTTAGGCAAGTTATATGAAGTCTGGCAATGTTTCTACTGTTTTATCAATATATAATTTTGTTATGTAAATTTGTTTTAGGCGTATTTTACTAAACTGATGTATACTTACGGGCTGCAAATGGACTTACACCTTTTCAAAATTAGACAATTGTAAAAATCGTTTAATTTCAATTTTGATAAATCAAATATCACTAAAAATATATTTCATATTAATCCAATTTTGTTTACAAAGAATGACACGGCATAAAATAAAAGTAGTATTTTTAATTTTAAACATTAACAATTTTTTACGCGAAAACGGTTAATCTCCGGTATATGACGCCTTTGAAGCTTTTTACCTACTCCTCGAGTAGAATTTTTTAAAATTAAAAAGAACTTTGCCCTTAAATTTCGAGATCATAATGGATTTTGCGGACAGTTTCTTTTGCACACGTCCACCGATCCAGATGTGCACCATAACCCCTGAAAGTGGTGACCATTAATTTTTGTACACCCTGTACTTGGCATCGAGACGCTACCGCGTCTCTAGATTCGCTTACTTATATTTTATTCCACGCTGTGTAACACTTTTTTTTTTTTTTTACGTTGTAAAATAAAACATTTTATTTTCATTTACTTCATGGTTTACATTGGCAATTTTAGACTGTTTCTCATTCGGTTATGTTACATCCTATTAAATCAAACTTTACGAAAACTGTGGTGATAGCAAGTTATACAAATATACCACAAAAAGAGAATGATATATGTGCATTATAAAGTATCTCGCTTGTGACACGATTCCTATTAATGATATACACTTAAAAAATTAATTTGTTTAACTAACTGCAACTACGAGCTAGAAATGAATGAAATTTTACTTATGTACACGTACGTCGAGAATAACGGCAGCACATTTTTCATAAAAAAGAAAGTTCCCAACGACTGGAAATTTCCATCCACCAAAATATTTTCAACCACGATTCACTTTACTAATCACTGTCGTGCACCTATTTGTAAACTCCGTAGAAGGCATTTAAAGGGAGGCACATTAGGAGTTCAAGTGGTACAGTGTTTCCTGGAATATTTTTTTACAGAGAAGAATTTATGCACTATCTGTTTAACTTTCGGAATATTGTAATTTCAAAGTACGTAATATTGTACGTTTCAAAGTACATTTGGTAATTTTCTCGGTTTATTTTGCACAGATAATCTCTAACGAATCTGTACAATAAAAGACAACATAAAAACAAGAATTCGTGACGCTGGTGTCTTATCGTTTCGCTTTCATCTTGTATAGTTTTTCTTAAATGTCGAGGAATGTTTTGCAAGGTAGTTTTATTGTAGACAAAAATACTGGCCGGTCCGACAACAGTCTGAGAGTATCGTAGCTTCCAGCATTCTTTTATATAAATACAAATAATAAACGCAAAAATATTGGTGGACCATTTGGAACACGTGATTTGTGTTGAATTTGATAGAAAATTGTTCAACAGTGCTTATTTACTCGTGGAAATTATACGTTAATGGATTCCTTTATTAACCGACATCGAAAAGGAGGAGGTTACTCAATTCGACATGTATATATTTTTTTTTTTTTTTTCATTACATTAGCATATGATCGACTGTTTCCATCGAATAACAAGAATTTCAAGTTTTTATCCGGCTAACCATTTTTCCACTATTAAATTATGTTACTAATTAAACTGTACACTAAATATTAATAAAAGAAATATTATTTATTTGAAATGACTTCTCTTTATTATATTAATACAACATGTCAAGCAAAGAGCAGCAAATCAATTATATAGGAAATACAAAACAATAACGTTTTCAATAAACAAACTGAAATATACAATTCGATACAATCGATCATACCAAGTATGAAACGATATCCACAATTGCAATATCCACCTGCGGTGTTTCTTGGTTCACTATAGCAGTTTTTTATTACTTTTTTTTATTTCGTGTTGACAGTTAATGGAGGGGTCGGGCAGCATACGCGTTTGTCTGAATTTCTGATGCAGTTAGTCGTCAATTACACTTAGACGCCGCTTTTATTCTCAAATCCTTTGCTCGGTTCGCTACTTTAGTTCTTACAGAGCATCGGAGTCAGAACAGAGCCACTTTCTTCGTCTCGCTGTACAAAACATTACGCAACTGGGTAATTCCAATTTTCGTTCAGAGTAGAGCCGTCTTCTCTCGGCCACGAATATCGATTTTCAAGGTAACGTTTGGAATTAATGTAAAGTTATACAGAATTATGAAATTTACATCATATGTTCTGTGTTTTAAGATTTTCTGCATGCATATGAACTTTATGTAATTGTACTATGTACAACGTTTATACTATTTATTATTTAAAAGCAGTGTGCAAAATGCACACTTGGGTGTTCGAGACAAAATCCATAACTTTTAAACTAATTATAGGAAAGAGACCAATTTCAGCCCTTACAGTTTTCAAAAGTAGTCAGAACGCATGGCAGAAAGCCTTGTTGCAAGAAATTTAAATGTTATTGATAAAGTGAGAAAATGAACAAAGAAATCCAGTATTTATAACGCACAATTTATTGTATTACAATACTAATTTGTCCTTTCAGTTTTCAAAAGTACACAGAACGCATGGCAGAAAGTCTTCTTGTAACAAATTTAAATGTCAATGATAAAATGAACAAAGAGATCCACTATTCATAATGGACAATTTGTCCCTCGCACCATGTTATTTAATCGCATCGCTTAGGAGATGATAAAAAATGAAAGTAATTCACGGAGAATTATAGGTCACTCATCACACCACACATTTATCGTTTAAATATCTACCCCATCCAGTTAAATACGGTCAGCTTTTGCAACATACTTAGGAAGTAATCACAGCAATCATTGCAGCTACGTGTAAGTGAATAACGCAATCATGAACGCGACACAGAATAAAGATAGACAGGTGCAAGTAGTGATCGATCAAATATTGACGTCAAAAGTTATGGTTTTCTTCATTTTCGTGTCAACAGATTAATTGAGGGTTATTACCAGGTGATTGATTTTGGAATGTTATTACACTTAATTACTAATGACATCGAGGAATATTTTTGATGATTTGCTAAGTAAATAAACGTATCGTATTTAAAAAGATAATGTCAAGCACTCTGGCTGCAAAAACAGTCATAAAAATTTCCTCGAAATTGGTGGGGAAAAAATGAAATACCCCTTTAATTAGAAACACACATTCCATTGTAACTTATCAATACAACTCCACACAGTCCACCTTGATATGATATGAAACACAATTATTGCCATATCTAAATCCTATAAAAATTATAAAAGAAGAGAGAAGCTACAAACTATACCAAGCTGTTAAGAGACAAGGATTGGGATATACGTGTGGAACGTAATAATTATAAGCAATGTTGTGCCCAAAATTTGCATAAGTAACGCCTAATGTAATATTTGTTAGGTTTGTTCCTTTTTTAAGACAAATGTGAAATACAAGCCTCGTTTGCGAATAGAATTTTTGCGTGTAGCAAAATACAATACTGTTCAGATGCTGGGCCCAAAATTTTTAGAAGTAACGCCTAATGTAATATTTGTTAAGTTTGTTCCTTTTTTAAGACAAATGTGAAATAAAAGCAACGACTCGTTTGCGAATAGAATTTTTGCGTGTAGCAAAATACAATACTGTTCAGATCTGGCGATTCGTACTCGATTATATAACGTAATGGCAACCTGTATGCTTTGCGTAACAAATATGCAAGTTTTCATAACGACGATTCACAAAAATATGAAGACGATAGTATATCCGGCCAGGTGAAAACAAAAGTCGCGGATACTGTGCTGCGTAAGCGTAACAGGAACGTTGTAAATAACGTGTAAAATATACATTGTGAATTACAGGTACATTTCCGCGAGATATATGTATAATTATTAAACGAGTGTGAGACACGAAGAAACAACTTTCCTTCATTTCCAAGGTAACATCCAGATCATTTTGGTTTTGTATTGGAAACATGATATCGCGTAAAAATATTCAAACTGCCTATCGAATACGACCTTGACCTTGAGTAAAAGTAATCAAAAGAAATGCGAGTTGAGGCAGAAACCTAACGTTTTTATTTTGTCATTGTGAAACTGCGTTAATGAGATCCTTTCGGCGAAAATAACGGCAAATAAGAATTTAAAAGAGTTGTATGGTTTTTTTTTAAATTCCGAAACGATTGATACCAATGTTAGTGGAATATGTTGGAGTCGTCGCTGAAACAAGGAATTTAACCCTTTGCACTCAAGAGGTGACTCTCACTCGCCATTAGGTTTTAAGGAGCAAATCTACAATACTCGAAGTTTTTAGGTTCAATTTCTTCGGAGCACGACGTATCAATAAAATGATTGTCGGTGAGGTAAAGGTGACCTCATTTCAAAATCTCGATAGCTTAATACTCATAGCAATAGAATGTTAAGAAACATCTCGAGTTGCTGATAGATATAAAAAAAAGGCCTCGAATGCAAAGGGTTAAACAAAAATCATCAAATGATGTCGGAATTACAGTTTATAGAATATACAGGGTGTCCCAAAAGTGTTGTAACGCTTTGAAAGGGGTGGTTCGGGAGGTGATTTGAAACCCTCTTGCCGACAATAAGCAAAATTTGTGGACTACTGAACTTCGCATATACAGATAAGTTGTAGTGTCCATCAGGTTGAGACTTATACAGGGTGTCCCAAAAATGTTGTAACAGGGGTGCTTCGGGAGGTGATTTGGAACAACTTTTTCCTTAGCGAAAATGTTGTCCGAGGCTTCGTTAAGGAGATATTAACGGAAAACACTGACCAATCAGAGCGCGAGCATGCCGGTGTAGCGCCCGCGGTAGCGTATGAGCGCGCCCGCTCCACTGGCATGCTCGCGCTCTGATTGGTCAGTGTTTTCCATTAATATCTCCTTAACGAAGCCTCGGACAACATTTTCGCTAAGGAAAAAGTTGTTCCAAATCACCTCCCGAAGCACCCCTGTTACAACATTTTTGGGACACCCTGTATTATATTTTTTCTTAATTTTAAGAATATGGAAGTTTGTTTTAACGTTAATTTTTGTATTTTGAAGACTTTGTGGAGCGCTCAAGGAGTCAGGAAATATATAGATTTCGTGACTTTCATTTTGTATGATAAAGATAGAGGCATTATCACTGATGCTCCTTGTTATTTGAATATTTATTTTAGGGCTCCTACATGCTCGCTCATAAATATGTGGATATTTACTACTTTCAGTGAATAATTAATATACCCCGTAAATTATTACTATACAACTTTTGTTACTAAATTCTATATTGGATGTGTATTTAACAATATTAATAATATTAAATGTTTAGAGTGCCATATTCAAATTTATTGGGAAAACATTTTTGGGACACCCTGTATATTCCTTGTAACAATAGTAAAATTTAAAATAATACTAAATTAACAACCTGTTTATCCATTTATTACATCGACATTATTTTTCTTTTTTTTTTTTACAGGAAATTAAAAATGTCTTGCGGGAACAATAAACCGCCATAACTCGTGTCGTAATATTTTCGTTTCTTTTAGTGTAGAAAATTATTTTAATAGCTTGTAGTTAGTTTTCCCCCTTTTTGCAAACTTATGGTCTGAAATTATTATTTGTAAAATAATCTGGACTTATTATTTGTTTAAACTTGTTTCTTATATCTTTTCAGCATGCTGGAGATAGAACCGCGAGGAAGTGAGCGGTGTCGCGTTTTGTAGAAGAGAAACTGAAAAACAAAATATATCAAGATGAACAAAATGGATTATATGGAGATCACCGTACCGAACTCTTCGTATGTCTTCAAATTCGAAGAAACCTTCAGTCCCATGGACACCACGGCGTGGATGGTAGACAACTGGACAAATGGTTTCTACTATTGTGGCATTTACATGATTATAGTATTTGGTGGACAGCATTACATGTCCACGAGATCAAAGTTTGAACTAAGAGGCTTGCTCGCACTTTGGAGCACACTACTTGCAACATTTTCCATTATTGGATTCACTAGATCAGCGCCAGAATTGATCAGAGTGCTAAGGCATTTTGGGCTTCACCATAGTATTTGTGTACCTAGGTAATTTCTCCTTTTTCTTATTCGTACAACTTTAACCATTTCAAAAACAATGTTTGTGTTATAATTCATTGCTATTACTCCCTTGACTATTATTAACTGGGTGGATAGGGATACAACGGCAAAAGCTCAGTCTCTCTGATCCAGACATCCGAGTAGAACTAATAATAATAATAATAATAAACCTGTTACCAATTCTCTCTGAAGTGGATACATAATTTTCATAAATAACATATTGGGAACTACTATGCATTAATTTATTTACCTGTCTAAATGAAACTGTATTTGTTTTAATATAAACATATATAATACAAAAATTGTTTGAGCTCTTGAACTTTTTGAAGTTAGGTGGGTTTAAAACTATCCCATCTTCTGCTTAGCTTTATTATTTTGTTTAAAGTTTTTCATTCATACGGCAATAATATAAACCAACGCTAAAAGTACAAGTGGAATCAAAATTACATACAAGTCAAAACGCGTTAGCAAGTTGTTGACACTGTTCTTCTGTGCGGCTTGAATTTTATTTTTCTTTTATAATCGTGTGCCTCAAAGAATTAAACTCAACAAGCATATAGAGATAATAATAACATCATAAGACAATAACAAATGAACGTATAAAAATCAATAATAAGGGAATAATTGTTTGCTTTCAGTTTCATCGAACATAACCGTGTGACTGGTTTCTGGGCATGGATGTTCGTGCTATCAAAACTTCCCGAACTTGGTGACACGATCTTCATCGTGTTAAGAAAACAGCCTCTAATCTTTCTACATTGGTATCACCATATAACAGTGCTTCTTTACTCGTGGTTTTCATATTCGGAAAACACAGCACACGCTAGATGGTTCATCGTAATGAATTACTTCGTTCACTCCATAATGTACTCGTATTACGCTCTGAAAGCAATGCGCTACAGACCACCAAAATGGATTTCCATGTTCATCACGATTCTGCAGATAGCACAAATGGTTATCGGCCTCTACGTAAACATTAAAGCTTACCAGTACTTGGAAAGTGGCCAGATTGAGTGCAATGTCTCGCGTGTCAATGTCAAATTCAGTTTGCTCATGTACTTCAGCTACTTCGTCCTTTTCGCTAAATTCTTTCACGACGCCTACCTGGGTACTAAACACAGCAAGAAAGCGGCAGGGAAGAATTACGCCAACGGAAAAGTGGACTACGAAAAGCTCAAGGCTAATTAAAGCACACAGACAATTTTTGAAAACATATTTTCTAGCGACAATTTCCGAAGACATTTCTTGAAAATGCTTTCCGAGCATGCTTTTTAAGGACGTAATTTGAGAATGGTTTTTCAAGAAATGCACTTTAAAAATGTTTTTTTTTTTTTTCTTTTTTTCTTTTTTCTTTTTTAGAAGCCTTTGTCAACATGAAGTCACAAAATGTTGTGATAGGGTGAATGAGGTGATGTGTTATTTCAAGATATAGCACACCGAATTTTAAGGTAATATCAACTGTTGCACACTGAATATAGTAATAAATTAATTGATAACCTGTTTAACATATTTAATGTTAAATGTGTTATCAGACGTAAGGAAATTCTTAGAGGCATTTCTTGGAAATATTTTTTCGTTCTAGAAACAATTTCTAAAGAAGTTTCTTGATAACAGTTTTTGGGTAACGTTTATGGAGTTAGAATATTGTAAAAAAAAGAAAAAAAAACTTTGGTAGAACGAGGATAGTGACATAATATTTAATGATATGGCACATTGCACGAACATATTATTTAACATGAAATTATTTAATACCGGAGAATATGTTAAGCATAGCGCATTTAACAGTAAATATGATATATTTTCTACTAAATTTATGAATGTTTGACATATTTAATGTTACATACACGGAGATGAATAAATATGGTCAAATATGATAAGAATGTATGGCAGTTTGTATAAGTGTAAATATAAATGATACTCTGAAATATGTATTGATCGTGATTAACCTAATAGAAATTTTTCTTTAAACTGTTGCTTTAAACTTTCTTTGGACTAGTATAAAATCGATACTAGAACTTTTTTATATGACGTATTAAAAAATTGATAATAATAAAAAACAGAAAATGAATTAAAAAAAGAAGAAACCGTTCTGAAGCCTCGTTCTACCGGGATAAAGATACAAAATTGGTGTCGAAAAAGCCACAAAAAAAAAAGGACAAGAAACATTGTGTCCATTGAAATTTCGTTAGGCCTATCTCCAAAACGAGCTAAATATTCTTTTTAGAAAATGGTAAAAAGAAGGTAGATAAAAATTGAAAGATAAAATTATAATTCTGCACTGTTGACAGTGATTTCATCATTCATGACCATTAAAAACAAAAAATTTATATTTACTATTTTCTATCACGACTATCTTATACTACTAGTGTAATAAAATGGGCTGTTTACTGATATTTCCTAACGTTGGGGGTGCAGCCAGCTTTGCAAAGAGGTCTGTTGTGTTTGCAAATTTTCATACTTTACAATCAGTTCCAAAATTATTGTATCGCACTACGTTAGTTTATTTGTACATTCGTTAAAATCATATGAAAAATTTATATAATATAATTTTAGGCATTGCACATACAATAACAAAAGTGTAAATTAAACGAGACATTGAATATGTATGTGAATAATGAAAATGAAGAGTTATGTTCTCAGAAAAGATATAGAATCATACAAGTTTTGAAAACTTGAAATCTTTACTGAAAACAAAACGAATAATTTAATAAAAAAACAAATATTTGGAAAACGAATACCCTATGATTTCGTATCTTTGTAGGGCTGGTCGCCCTGTGAAATGTAAACTGACCGATTCTAGTCGTATGGTCAGGATAAGAGCACTTATTCGCTAAAACAGGAACGTATTGAAACGTGCTTCAATATTTTAAATTTTTGTTCACGCCGCTGATTGACGCGCACTTCCATACTGAAAATGATTTATGTACCTTCCTTTTAATGTTCAACATGACTTTCGATTGGACACACTTTTTTCCCATAAATTACCAATTTCCTCTTGATTCGCACAAATATTAACGATAGAATTTTATTGATCTATGTATGCAAACTTTTACGAGTATCTAATCTTTATGAAATAGTAAACATTTCCGCGAACCAAACATGTTTGCATTTGTTTCTTTAAAGTTCGATGGTAATATTAACGAAAAAAATCAGTCCAACGAAAGACATAATATTTAATTTATCAGGGGGTATAAACGGTGTGCGTTTAAAGAATTCAAGGGTTTAAACTTGTCTATTTATTTAATTGAATAATATTAATTACGATAATGGTGGCAGTCAAATGTGCGTGTTTCATATAGTGTGGGTAAGAATTGAATCGATGTGGAACATTCGTATCTGCGTCGAATTACTATTTACAAAAACGTTAGAATAAAAGAACAAAAATTACAATTTTATAGAGAATTCTTTCTAGCAATGAATTTATAATCCTCATTGTAAATTTATTGTAAAAGGTGAGAAAATATGAAAAAAATACGTAATAAAACGAGACAAATAAAAACGAATGTGTAATATAGCAAGTAAAACAGTATTTGCAATAAACTAAGATTCTTTCTTTTACATTGAATTCTATTAACACATTTGACGATTGTCGACAACGATGGAAGTGTAAAAAGATGCTTCTGTTATTGCCTTTTATTAATCTTGGTATTAATAGCAGTAGAATGGTACTCAGTATTGTGTGATATAATAAATAATTAACATGAATTTTATAGTTACTATAAAAACCATAATGCAACATTCACTAGTATCACGTTACCACACTGTACTAAACAAATGTTAGCGTATATGATATATATACGGGTTAACATTATGTAGGACAAGGCATTTGAAATGACCACTTCAAATAGCATCATTCTTTTGGAGGGTCAAATGGAAACTGGACAGTTCTCGAAACGTCAACTACGAAGAACTGTGTGTTAAAAAATATACTATAATTTCGCTATAGAAAGATTTCGTTTCAAGAAAATAAAGATCATCTTCAAATCATCTAGGTGCTTTCACCTAAAAACATTCCATTTCATCTTTATATTTGATATAAAACCATGTAACTTTTATTTAACTTACTTTGTGTTAATATAATAACAACGTTGTTAATTTCAAATGCCTTATTCTGCACATTTGGCATTTAAAGTGAGCGCAATAGAATTCCTTTTCTTTTTTTTTTCTTTTTTTTTTAACATGATGAAATAATATAAAATTTTGTTTATAATTATCTATTCGTTCAATTTATTACCAATCAAATAAGCAATTATTGCAAATACTTGTTTTTGTTTTTATTAATTGTAGAAGTCTCGTTTTCACAAGGATTTTTTTAAATCGCGATTTTGTAATTAATGATTAGTTTTTGTATCGGTATTTTAGCTACTACTAATTACTGTTAAGCGATTAGTTAATCAAATGCTGTTTTTATAGTCGATAGAAGATCAATTGATTTATTACCATTTCAAATTCAAACTGCATGCATTTCTAACGAGGAAATGAAATGTATATCGGTAGGAGTCACCTAGAACATAACTGCGGGATTTCGAATCGTCATTTATACAGGTAATGTAACAATTAAGCGCTACATTTGTTACACAAACATAGTTGTAACTACCGAGTTATCGTCGTGACCGTAACTAGAAATAATTGAAGGTTCGGTACAAGTCTTTTGAGAAACGAGAACTAGTTTTTTAGAAGATAAAGTAAATTACACGAGAAGTGACAAATTGTTGTCCAGTTAATTAAGAAGCGTTACGAGTTTTTGTTCGTGTATTTTGGAAGATACCTTTCAAACGTATTGTCTGCCGTAATATACATTGTACAGTCTAATAAGCACTTGAAGAAAAAACCATAGAAGCTCCAAGTGAACAACGAAATGTAAAGTAAAAGATCCTACTTTCAATTACTGTTGGGCCATTTAAATGAATTACCTAAGTTCCGTTAAATATTAACTTAGTTAGTGGTGCACAAGATCAACGCGAAAGGAACAAAAACCTCATATAGAAATAATTTCAAAAGAATATTTAAATGTAGTCGATGTTTTATTCAGTTAGTATCACTATAATTACGCATCGTATTATTGTATTGATCAGAAAAAATGACAGTAACAGTTGGAAAAAAACTAAGCAACAAGTCTGTATCAGCATGTGTAATATCACCAGCGAAAGTCAGGAATTGTATAATTTGCGATATGATTTCTTTTGTTATGATCTATACTTTTCTTTATTATAATGAATATTGTACAACAATAATAATTTATGACAAGAGGTATGAAAAAGCTTCATTTGGTTATTAAATATCATTTGATTTATTTCAAAGTTCATTACCCAATTTCCTGCAACATATTCACTTGTTTCTGCATTGTAATTACTAAAATGACTAATAATAGACAATTAATGTCTTCAGGTAATGGTCAATTTCATCATTTGATTGGATCAGTTATGAGCATTGCAGAGAATATTTTTAATTAAAATTATTTTGATAAAAATACAATGAAAACAGGATTCAAATCTTAAATAATAATTACATTTGTTATTTAAAGAATATTTATTTATATAATTATGTTGCCACAATTAATTTGTTTATTTGCAAGTGAAAACTTATTTCTTTATTTACATTTGGAAAAAATTAAAATAATAAATAATTATCAGTTTTACAATCCTATTTATTTATATAATTGTCATTTGATTCTTTGCATTAATCCTATAAGGTATCTTTCAGAAACAACATGTTCTCTGATTCTTTATTCCATGAAACCAGTTTTATTTGTTTATCGCATAGTTTTTTTATAAACAGTTTCTGAATATATCTCTCGTAAAAATGCTTTTAGTCTGTCCCTTTAAGGGTGCGCAGGACCCAGAGCCAAACTCCGGGTTGACTTCAGCGACAGTTGCGGAAAAAGTAGGAAACTCCGGGACAAGGACAGAGAGGACGATACAAAAATTGCAGGAGTGACGAGGACAGGACGATTAGGCTAGCATGATTTTTTTCCAGGATATTGAAGCAAAGTAGCAATATGCTGGAAAAAATATCATGCTAGCCTAATCGTTCTGTCCTCGTCACTCCTGCAATTTTTGTACCGCCCTCTCTGTCCTTATCCCGGAGTTTCCTACTTTTTCCGCGACTGTCGCTGAAGTCAACTCGGAGTTTGGCTCTGGGTCCTATTTGTTTTATTAAAAAATAAAATTCTAAAGCTACTTTCAAGAAACCCTTTACAATCGATAGTCAGGTTAAAGTTTAAACGATATTGTTTATTGGTCAATCATGTAACCAGTACGTACATTAACCTCGACCAATTTTTTTGTTAGGAACCACTGATAAATGTGATACGATAAGAAAAACTGACTAAACTTAGAGATAAGTCGTTCCGACGACGTTTATGCGAGTAACTATTTATATTGCCTTATATTAAAAGTAACTGCTATAACTCTTTATATAGATAAGTATTGTTTTTCAATGAAATTTCGAAGATAGTCGTAAATTACTTTTTCGTTCCACGATTTACGTTTTTTAACATGCAATTAGTAAAAGTTCCCAACTGTTCAATTAAAAAAATGGAAATATGGTATTTTTCTACCATTTATCATATTTATTATCATTAGCTGTGTTAATATTACTTCTTTACGTGGTATATACAGTGAGTGTAGAATGTATTCTTACACCGATCAATTTCCCAAAAAACTTTTCTGTGAAATTGTAGTTTCTTAACTTCCTTTTTGTAATCAATGATATTTTACATATTCTCGGAAGTCTCTAAGATAGATCTAGTCCAAACAACATTTACTAGTTAATATAATTTGTAAAATTAACAAAAAAATGCGAAAAGTGAGTAAAAGTATAGAAGCAATAAGTATTTGGACGATTCTTATAACGAACCATTTACAGCAGAGTTTGTAACGTAAACACTTTAACTTATTGCTCCGTGCGAATTAGAAAACATCAAATTGCCAGGAAAGTACTTTTAAACAGTTGTGCGAATACTTATTGCTTCAATATTCCTATCGATTAATTGTTTTTTTCTTGTTAGTTTCGCAACTTACATAAATAGCTATTTTCTTTGTAATCTATCTATTCTAGAGATTTCCGAGAATATGTAGAATGTCATTGTTTATAAAAAATAAGTTAATAAATTACTATTTTACATAGTTTTTTTGGAAATTGATCGGTGTACGAATACTTTCTACACCCACTGTATGAAGACAATTGCCATTATAAGAGAACTTGACAATATTATCAGACTACAATCTAGATCACGTATCTTCTTAACCAGTTAGCTGTGGGGGCCCCCTTTTAAGAGCGCGCATTATGTGTCGCGAAAATCGAACGATGACGATTATACTCGTCAAACACAGCTGTCTGGTTAAAGTAAATAGTATCAGTACTGATAACCACGAAATAAAACTTACAGGTCCTCAATCATAGATTAAACAACAGTGATTGAAAATCGACTTATTAGACACAGAAAAGGCAAAACTAATTTATTATTAACGCAAAACTAATCTCATAGCTCAGCGACCAATGTAATCAAACGCTACACAATCTCGTATCTCAGCGAATAGTGTAATCAAAACACAAAGCCTGTCGTCTTCAATCATTTACTAACTTCCGTTTGATTACATTTAAAAGTGAAAAACGAAACTAGAATGGTTTTCAACCGAAATAAAACGAAAAGTTTAAAACAATACAATTGATTTAATTCGTGAAATATTTGTCATGATTTGTATGAAGAGAAATTGAACCATTTACAATGTTTTACAAATTTATTCTAAGACAGATATGTACAAATTTCAATGACACATATACGCGAGACTTCTCCTCAACTCCAGCTTTCGTTTGACAAGATCTAGCTTCGCTAACTCTCTCTCGCTTCGCTAACGGTAACTCCCGTTTATTGTACGCTTTATCTTCGTCACTTCTCATAACGCCTCTGGCTGGTGCTTCCATGAAAATTACTCCTATGACGCATGTTTCGTCGCTCACACGTGCAACTTCACACGAATGTATGTCATTAATTCATTATCCAAGGTGCTTATACATATTCCAGAGTTTCGTATACATGTCTATTAACACAACTATACTGTGTTTTATGATAGTAACAACAATGATTCTTTTATTTGGATAAATTACATAATTTTTGTAATTACCTAATTACCCATTTGGTTGGAGTGAAAACGTTTTTTGTGTAGGATTAGTAAACAATGTAAGTAAGTGATTAACGTTATTTAATGAAGAGTTAATTATAAATAAAAATGTGAACAACGCGTTATTCACATTTTTATTCGTGAATTTATTCATATTCATATTCACAAATCCGCGTGATGTGAATGTATTCATATTCATATTTATGAATTATATATGTTGCAGGGAAATGATAAAAATAGAGATTTGATCAAATCCCTAAGGTAGATGATCAATTAACGGGAGATGTTAAAATAACATCTCTGTGAGGTCATTTCCCTAAAGAAAGTAAGTGATTTGATCAAATCCCTTAACTGTTTTAGTGTAAAGATGAAATAATATTGTTTAGATATTGAAAGTATTTTAATTAGTTAATCATGCGTTATTAAAAGTAGAATAGGTAATACAACAATACTCATAGAAACATAAATTATTTATTCGAGACTAATTAGTAAAAGAAATAGGTATTTAAGCTGATATTTTAACAAACAAAAAGAATATTTTTAGGGAATGTAATTAATAAATAATTTGTTTCTACGACTATTGTTGTATTACCTATTCTACACTTAATAACGCATGATTTACTAAATTAATACTTTTAATATCTAAACAATATTATTCCATCTTTTCCCTAAAACAGTCAAGGGATTTGATCAAATCACTTACTTTCTTTAGGGAAATGACCTCACAGAGATGTTATTTTAACATCTCCCGTGAATTGATCATCTACCTTAGGGATTTGATCAAGTCTCCATTTTTATCATTTCCCTGCGACATATATTTGAATTATATATTTATGAGTATGAATACCCCCATCTCTGTGTCCAAACATGTCTTCCTTTTACCCTTACCTACATACAACACACGTTCTTATCATTCATTCTCAATCTGGCACCTAGCAGTCGCTCTCTTAGCCTAAACATTCGCCAATTCCGTGTGTTTATCTTCCAGGCACACTTCCAACTGTTGCCCGGTCCAAACACTCTTCTTCACATCTCAGGTTCTCGTCATCCATGCATTTGTTAAACTCTACGCATACCCGTATTGCGATACGCGTATCGTCGTGTGAAAGAGCTTTTAGGCTATGAGCCATATAGTGGTCGCCAGTAGTCCTCGCCAGTCACCACACCACTCTACTACTCTTATGGCCGGCATTGGGGGGGGGGGGGGGGCGGGGCGCCAGATTTTTGGGGGCGTCACAGTCCGGTGTCCGTAGTATACGAATATAGTATAGCTGCTATACAGGGTGTCGCAAAAATGTTGTAACACCTTGAAAGGGGTGTTTCGGAAGGTGATTTGAAACAACTCTTTCTTTAGCGAAAATATTGTCCGAGGCTTTGTTAAAGAGATATTAACGGAAAACACTGACCAATCAGAGCGCGAGTATGCCGATGGAGCGGCCGCGGTAGCGAAGGCTACGCCACAACCGACTTTAGTACTAGCCGTATTGAGGCGAAAATGGCAACAGTGTGAGAGTCCGGCTTCGATATATGTAACCCAACCTATCCTATCAGCCTCCCGGCCTCTCGGTACAACCGGCCTCCTGTGTGGTTAATCACATCACAAGAATCTTTACTGATGAACATGCACCATTTATTATATCTAGCGTGACACACGAATCAACGCAAAACACTAACATCAATCGCGACGCGTTAGTACAAAAGGAGACGTCACTACGGACTAGCGCGATATTTGAAAATTGTTTTCGACGCGCGAGTCGTGCTTGTCCACATTGGTCCACATGCCGAACTCGTACTTGTTCGTACTGTCGCCACCGTGGTACACCGCCTCGTGGCGACGTCACGAGGTAGGAAACCTGAGCGAGAAAAAGAAAACAAACGAAAGTCTTCCTTTTCGCATAGAGAGAAAGAAAACAAAAGAAAGTCTTCTTTCTCCATAGAGAGGAAACTCTCTAATAATGTTGGCGCAGCGACACCACACTCCCAACTACTATGTCTCCCTCTACCGGCCTTTTCATACAATTATTTTTCTTTCTTTTGACTTTGTTCATATAATAAAAAATATAAGAAATAACTGGTTAAATTTAAAAAATTTAGATAAAACCTTTATTTTCTCCGAATTTTATACAAATGAACAAGGATTAGCTAAATTTAACCATTTACGTACAGTTTACGATTTTGAAAAATATTTAATTATTAAGAAAGCTTATAAATTAAATTATAAATCATTGTTTCCTAATAATTTTGTTAGGCAAAAAGTTTTTCTAGTAAATAATATTTTCCATCATTCAACAATGGCAGTTATGAAAGATTTTAATTATACAGATACTGCCCATTTTTTAGAAATATTTCGCAAATGGTGGGACATTGTAAATAATACAAGTAGTGTTAAAGGTAACAGGAAAAGAAACGAATTTTGTAAACCGATTTTGAATGTTAAGGATTTTAGATATGAATATTTAAAGAAATTTTTAACATAGTTAGATTTTTGGAAAAATTTGGAAACAGACTGTCATTTAACATTAGATACTTTCAAAGCTTTACATCAAAGTACTAAAGTTCTTTTACTACTCATAGAGTACTGTTTTCAAACTTTTGACATATCTTATCTTTTAGCAGGAAAATTTTGAATTAAAAAATTAGAGAAACGATTTGGAAACTATAGACTTTTATTTGGTTATAATTATCACATTTCATACAATGAAGTAGTTCATGCAGAGAAAGATATTGGATTAAAACATATATTTAAGAAATCGGCAAGATTCTTGTCTTTTACTTAAATCGAGCTATACGAGCTAATACGAGCTAAGTGGCCGCGCTTGTACGCGACAAGTGACTCGACGTGCATCATAGGACATTGACGCGGCCGCCTAGCCGTAGCCTTCGCTACCACGGCCGCTCCAACGGTATACGCACGCTCTGATTGGTCGGGGTTTTCTCTTAATATCTCCTTAACAAAGCCTCGGACAACATTTTCACTAAGGAAAAAGTTGTTTCAAATCACCTCCCGAACCACCCCTTTCAAGGTGTTACAATATTTTTGGGACATCCTGTATTTTCTTCAAACCACTGTCCTTTTTCCAATGCGCATGCGCAACAAATGAATTTGAAAACCACACGAAGGGCACACCGGGCACACGAAACGTTGTTCAACCATCGTTTAATCACGTTCAATCGCGTTTATCCTTTGCCGAAGTAACCTGCCATTTTACAAATATCAGTTTAATTTCATTCTATAATCTTTGGACAGAAAATATGTTCACACGTCAGATGATAGTTTTGTTATTGTGAAAGTATTAGATAATTTAATGGTAAACAATTTGAGTTTGTAGACAGTTGATGCGTGTGACTGCGAGGGATTTTATTTTATTATTATAGACGAAAAGGTTTGTTTTATTGGACTGTTGCCATTGTTGTTCGTATCTATGTTTCTATCTACGAACAATATATTTTAGACTTTTGTAGTGATTGTAAGAAAACAAGTTCATTCTGTGAATCGCAGAATTATTTGCATGTAAACAATATAGTAATAACACGCAAAGTAAAAAGATAATGATAAGATTTTAATTCTTCTTTGATTAAGAAATAGATAGTTCAGATCCTTAACTAATGAAAACGTAAAATAAAACTGTGATATGTCATAAAATTGTGAAAAAAAAAGAATCATTGTATATAAGTTTATAAGTATATTTTATTATAATTATGTTTTGTTGAATATTCTGTTTATTTATCATTTTTTCGAGTCTTATTGGCACTAATTATATTAGTACTTTTTTAGTAATTGTTCTCATACTCTAATATTTTTCCTTCAATCCATTTTACACATTAGTTTTGTTTGTAATCAAGTATTTGCAATGATTTAAGTTGGCGTTACATAGACCTAAATACAAGGTCTTCCAGGGTTTTTCTTTGTAGAATTTGTTGTATGTGCAGGTAGTTTAAGAGTTAAGAATGGGAGGAATAGGTATAGTACATTCCTAATTCTTGACAAACTATATTTAAGATAGCTTGTGGTTTGAAACAGCATGAATTATATAAAAGGAATAGATTCATCTAATAATAGATGTTTTGATTGATCAATTTTTTGCTATTTGGGTAATGCATGTGTTCTTAGTTTAGTTGAACCATTAGTAAGCATACGATTCCTTTACATTACACTTTGTTAATCTACATGATTGTCCCACAGATGGAATCACGTTTGCCTAAACCAAAAATTGTTTTGACAGACTCTATTAATTTTAAATCGACTAATACCTCAGACATGAATAAGACAAAAGCTTCCAAAAGTGGTAATGAACAGTCTCATTCAAATATCAATAATGCATCTGAAATGTTGAAAAAGGCACAAAGTGTAGCGAACCTCGATTTAAAAAGTACCATAAAAGATAAACCTATGATGAAGGAGAACCTCGCTAGATCGAAAACGATGTCGTCGATAACAACTAGAACTTTGAAAAGACCAGCTACTACAAACATTGTACATGCAGTTAAAAAGCCATTTATTAAACCTGTTTCTAAAGCAGGAGCTGTACAACAAAATGCTACATCAACAGGCAAGATTGTTAATAGCACTGTATCAGTTACAGCAGTTAAAAACACACAAAGTAACTGTGCAACCAAACCAAATAAGTGGGATATTAAGGGTCGCTTGGCCCACACAACCAATGAATTATCTACCTTACGAGGAAAGTATAAAGATACCGCATTGAAACTTAACATGCTGCAGGAACAGGTGAATACTTTAGAAGCAAATACAAATGTGTATAAGTTAAAGGTAGAAGAATATGAAACTTTAAACAAGAGATTAGATGATGAACTCAAGGAATTGAAAGTAGCAATGAGTACCATAGAAGAAGAAAGAGAGAATTTGAATAAACATTTGTTGGAATCCAGAGAATCGTTTAATTCTGTCTCAAAATGTTTAGAAGAATTTAAACAAAAGTGCTTGTCTCAAGAAGCATTACTATTGAAGCATACATCTACCATAGAAAATCAACAAACAGATTTGGAAAAGCAGGAAAGGATTATCAAAGAATTAAGTACAGTCAATAGTGAATTACAGTCTTTAGTTCATACAATGGACAAGGATCGTAGATGTCTACATAATGCGATACAGGAATTAAAAGGAAATATTCGAGTATTTTGCCGGGTGCGTCCTAGAACTTCAAGTGAAATCCAGAAAGGGAAAATGTATGTATTGGATATCTAATTAGTATTTTCAAATTTTAGGGGTATAACCTCTAGAGGGATCTCATCATTTATTGTTTATCTGAGTTTAACAATTGTCTGAATATTATTTCTCTAGTATCGTGCATTCTAAAACGTTTCAAAACACTGATCCAAATATTAAATTTAGTAAATTTTCAAACGATTATTTACACTGTTCACAGGATGTGTATAATGAACTTCGTTGATGAGTCCACTATCGAGGTGGGTAAGTTAGATGGTTCTGATGCAACGAGTTGTAGTGGAAAGCTAAGAGGAATGCGACAAGAATTTTCCTTCGACAAAGTTTTTCCACCTAATACCAGCCAACAAGATGTCTTCGAAGAGTTAGCTCTTTTAGTTCAATCTGCTTTAGAAGGATATAATGTTTGTGTATTTGCATATGGTCAGACTGGTTCAGGTAAAACGTTTACGATGGAAGGTTCACCTGGAACTGATACAGAGGGCATGATACCTAGAACGGTACATACAATTTTATTTATTATAATTTGTGGAAGAGATAATGTTTGCTAAAGTTCTTGCTTTCGTTTACGTATTAAGGTACGACACATATTCAAAGAAATGAAGCAGTTCCAATTACTTGGCTGGGAGTACCGAATTGAAGCTAGTTTCCTTGAGATTTATAATGAGCATATCGTTGATTTACTTGATTCTCAAGTAAAAACACACGAAATCCGAATGACTGATAGTAAAGGACACGATTTATATGTTAGCAATCTTAAAATTGAGGAAATAAATAGTCCTGAAAAACTACACGAATGCCTTCTAAACGCCCAACGTAATAGAGCAGTCGCGGCTACTTTATCCAATGAACGGTAAATATATATTTTTTATCTTTATCATTTATTTCAAAATAATCAATAGATTCATGAGCAATAACAGTATAATTGTTTAGATCATCAAGATCGCATTCGGTAACAAGAATAAAACTTATCGGTTTACATAAAAGTAAAGGAGAAGTTTCGATAGGAAATTTGAATTTAGTAGATTTAGCGGGTTCTGAAAGACTGAAAGGGGAGGAATCAGCTCGAAATGCCGAAACAAAAAATATTAACAAATCGCTAGCGAATTTAGGTAATGTAATTCTTGCTCTGTTGAAGAAGCAGGAACATATACCTTACAGAAATTCGAAGCTTACCCATTTGTTAATGCCGTCTCTGGGTGGCAATTCTAAAACCTTAATGTTACTAAATATATCGCCTTTAAACGAATGTTACAATGAAACTTTGAATTCGTTGAGGTTCGCCAACAGTGTGAATAGTTGCAAGATAGGTAATGTAAAGCGAACACGTACAGTTCTACAACAGAGTCTACAATAAACTCTAACGAATTCTATGTCGCTGTGGTACTAGTTAATCTTAGAAGAGTGAAAGTTTTATTAACCCTTTGCGGTTTTATGTCGAAAATGTACTCAAATCAGGAAATGGTACTGAGCAATGTGGCAACTGTTGTTGACGAACAGCGATTAACACTGTTCAATGAATTTTATACTTTTATATTTCGAGATATTTTCTTTTAATAATTACACGCGAAGCGATATATAAACATTATATTTGTTTGTAAGTTTGAGTTAGGTAGAAATTTAATAGTATTTAAAAAGGATGCGGTAAATTTCCTCACCATTCTATAGGTATTACCGTGGTGCAATATAGTTTTTTAAATTTTAATGTGGAAAAGAAAACACAATGTAACAACGATGTAATTCACAATAAAAATAAACACAAAACATAAAAATAATGATGAAACTTATGCGTAAGATTTACCCTGGAGCAAGATGGTTAGCTCTTTGAGTAGTGGTCCAATTGCCTGTATTAGTAGTTTGGCAATAGTATTTCTAACAATAGACTCGTTCCTCGTAAGAAAAATATTGCTCAAAATAGTCTTGTCTTTACTATTCAAATCTTACATTAAAAGTTGCGCTCTATGGCTGCCCGAGGTAGTAGTCTTTCCTGCAGGACTGCTTTCAGCATTTAAACTTAGGTTTTCCAATCTATCTTTTAGTAACAATTGTGATCCAGAGTTATTTCTGTTCCTTTTTTTTGTGGTTTCAATTATTCCCAAGAAAAATAAAGTCACTGGTGACAAACATTTACATCTGACTTACTTAAATGCTATTTAGCAAAATTCTTGTCGATTTTTCAATAATGAATGATTATGAAAGAAAAGAATACATAAAAGAATAGAGAACTACTAACCAATTAAGCAACTTGGAGTTATTTCTTTGTAATTAAATGAATACTATAACTATATGCGATATATATCATAGAATGACGTTAGCAAATAATCAATACATTTGTGAATCAAGTGAAGTAAAAATCAATATTAAAAATTTTGTTTATCTAAAATATGCAAGTGTACCGAAGAGATGAAACCTTATTAACAAATAGATTGCTATTGAAAAAATGAAACTTAGATGAATAATTTGCAAGTTTAATGATGTAAGTAATGAAAAATGAGTTCAATTTCGTAAAAAAAAATTTTAAGCATTATTCTTTGTGTTAAATATAAAAACCTGGTGCAAAGTATTCAATGTTATCTTCAATTATAGCAGTCTTCACCTTAGAAATTTCTTCTTTTCTCTCTTTATTTCCTCTACTCTCTGAGCGCACTAGACACTGTACTTTGTCAGAGAAATCTGGAGTCACCCTTTCAAATTTGATCTCACTTGCGCCGCGAGTGGTAGAAATATTCATATTTGATAACACTTCTACACTACACAGATGGAACTCCTTATACAGGGTGTCCCAAAAATGTTGTAACACCTTGAAAGGGGTGGTTCG